TTCCTGCTGGACCATTGGCATTTGCAGTTACTCTGGTAAGTAGCCTGGAACGTATGGCTTTTCTCTACTTTTCTCTTAATAGGACACAACTAGTCAGCCCAGGCTTCCAGTGGTATATGGTGGAGGGAGTTTTAGAATCACAGAATGGTAAAGTTGGAAGGGTTTTCAGATGTACTCCACTTACCCCAATCTAAATCCTAGCCCAGTGGTCAGCAAACTGGGGCTCACGAGCCACATGCGGCTCTTTGGCCCCTTGAGTGTGGCTCTTACACAAAATACCACGTGCAGGTGCGTACATACAGTGCGATTGAAACTTCGTGGCCCATGCGCAGAAGTTGGTATTTTGTGGAAGAGCCACACTGAAGGGGCCAAAGAGCCACATGTGGCTCGCGAGCCGCATGTTGCCGACCACTGCCCTAGCCCAATACCCCAGTGGCTATCTATTGAATGGCTACAACTTGTTGGGCACTGGATAAGCATTGGAAGATTCGAGATGGGTCAGACATAAATATTGTTCTTAGGGTGCCTATAGTGTGGCAAGGGGGAGAAGACTTCCGTAGAAGTGATTACAGTGGTATTCAGCTAGAGCCCTGGGAGAGTGAGGGCGAACTATTCAATGTCTGGGTCCGGTACAGAGGCTGGCTTCTTGGAGGATAATGGGAACTGACACATTCAGTGATGGTCACTGCTCACTCAGAGAACAAAAAGCATTGCAGAGCCTTCCCCCAGAAGTATATAACTACATACAGAGAAGATACCAAAGTGTTTAAGAAGTAAAGAGATCAGTCGTGAGAAACTAAGTGGCAGCTTATGAAATTTTTGACAAATTTGTAATTTCATCAGTTTTAGCTATTTTTGTTCTTTCGTTTCCAGGGGCAAACATCCACTGGTAGAGGTGACCACTGAAAGATGGGTGGAGGGTAATAAATATCATTCACTGGAAGGGAATTCTGGAAGGAAAATAGGTGGTAGAAGGTGAAGGTGAACAGACTCAATTTTTTATGATTTGAACAGGTACATGAAAAGGATTCCAGAAGAAAATGAACTATGGCAGGATCTTAGTCAGCAGGAGAATATGTTATAGGAGTTCTTATGAATCTGTTCATACACAAGTATGTTTACATATCTGCACGCATTTTATAAAAATATACATATTTTTCCATTCTCTACACTTTCCTACTGATTCGTTTTCTACATAAAAGTTACATTTCTAAAACTGAAGATATAAAATGCAGTTGTCTCATATAAATGCCTTGATAGCTTCCCATTGCCCTCAGGAAACAAACAAACAAACAAACAAAAAACACCTCAAACTCATTAGTATATCATTCAAGGCTTTGAAAAACCTGACCTCACCTGAATTTTGCAGCCTCACCCCCTTTATCCCTCCTCAGCACACCCCACTGGAGTTCTGCACTCCAGCCATTCTGGGCAGAAGACTCACTACACCACGCACGTACTTTCATTTTAATATCTCAGTGCCTTTGTTAATTTTGTTCTTTTTAAAATTCTGTTCCCTTCTTTACCTTGTGATTCTGGCATTTTCCAAGATTCCTGCAACACTCACCCACAGCAGAATTAGCCATCCCTTCTTTTGTATTTCCATAGAGCATTGCCCATAATATGCAGGACTGTGGTGTGCACAGATCTATATTGTCCACCAGACAATGTGAGCTCTCAGAATGGAGTGTTCTTATCTTATGCATCTATGTAGCTACACCAACTGGTAGAGTCATTGTTCAATTATGTTTATAGCATTGAGTTAAATTGGTTGGGAACAGTTTCCTGGGCTGTGGTTGGATCCACTCCTGGCCCCAAGTGGAGTTTGCTTATGGAATTCAATTCACATGTGAAGTACACCCCTATTCAATCAATCACTAGTATCGTTTAAGTGCTTACTACCTGCCAAGGTGCAGTACGGTGAGCTAGGCATGGGGTGCAGTAGTGAGTAAAACATAAGTTCCTTTCCTCATGGAGCCTACATTCTAATGAGAGGAGGGAGGCAAAAACAAAAAGATTTAATATTCTAGGTAGTGGTAAGAAAAAATAAAGATAGAGGGTTACAGGTGTGCTATTTTTGATTCCTCTCTAAGAATGTAACTTTTGAGGAGAGACCAAATAATGTGAGGAAAGACCAAATAATGTAGCTATCTGGGGAAAGAAAGTTCTAGGGAACTGGGACAGCAGGTGCAAAGGCCCAAAGGCAGGAGTTTTCATGGGCAATCAAGATGAGCATGGCTGGAATGGAGCTGTGATGGACAGAGTGCAACGTGGTGAGGTCATAGACAGGAGCAGATGATCCTCTTTCACTCAGTTTCCCTTTTGCTCTGCAGCTACCGCCTTCCTCCTCAGCAATGTCAAGGATTCCTTACCTTTACCTCCGGAAGTTCTCCCCGGTCTGCATCCATTAAAATTTCTACTGGAGTCTCTGGGCATTTCTGTTGAGCACATCGTAGAAGGGCTAAGGAAGTGTGTGAACGAGCTGGGCCCAGAGGCCTCTGAGTCCGTGAAGAAACTGCTGGTAACTACAGCTTGTGGGGTAGTTTGTCACAGGCAGGGCTCAGCTACCCTGAATGCTTACGCAGCTCCCACCTCACCCAGTTCTCATTTGTGAATGTGTATTTCCCCCTTACTGATGACTCATATAAAGTTTGCATGTTCAGTAATCTTGAGAAAAGTGCAGTATCTACATTTTCAGTAGGAACATGTGAATAACAGAGACCTGTGAGTTTAAAGAAAAATAATTTAATGTATAAATTGATTTTAGTGAGAGAGGAAAGAAGAGGAAATAAGAGAGAGAGAAACATCAATTTGTTGTTTTACTTATTGATGCATTCATTGGTTGACTCTTACATGCACCCTGACAGGGGATCAAACCCACAAACTTGGTACATTAGGATGATGCTCTTACCAACTGAACTTCCCAACCAGGGCAAGACCTATTTTCTAGTTGTGACTTTGCCATTTACCAGCTCTGTGATCAGACTTAACCACTTTGAGACTTCGATTACCTGTCAGGAAAATGGTGGCTGAATAGGAGTGACTATTTTTGGAAATGTGCTAATTACATGTAACCTGCTCTTATTTTTATTACTGTCTTTCTACATTTCAGGGGGCCCTTACACTGTTGCTGTGATGGCAGGATAAAGCAAGAATGGAAGGAGGAGGATGGTCTCCTCCTCCCTGGCTGAAACTTGTTCCATCCTAAAATGCAATGGCTCCTGGAAAGAATGAATAAAGCAATGAACAGATTTCAGTGTGTCTTATTTTATTTCTGGGGCCTCTGTTCAGAAGGGCCTTAACTGGATAACCTTTCCCTTGGGTCATAGACTCTAGAGAGCCTGCTGTTCTAAAGGTAACTCACCTTTTCAGTGAGACACGATTCCTTCTCTCTAAGGTAAACATCTCCATTGTTTTTTCTGTGATAGTGTTTCCAGACCCCTTACACTCCTATCCTTACACCCCTTACACTTCTAAAGAAACTTTAAAGCATGAAATGAAAAAGCATTTTCAGAGTATTGTCTGACAAGTCTAGGGCCTCACAAATCTCATTGGTTTGGAGTCTACACCGCCAGAATGTGAATCTATATTAAGTCTGTAGTTACGGCAGGACCGCTGTAAAGCTTCACTGACCCCCCCTCCGGGTTAGGCCTTTACTACACCAGCCTTTGGCAAACGGGTTCTAACCTACCCTCCACACCCCCCATGAGAACATCTATAATGATGCCAGCATTTTCTTTTCAAGACATAATTTTGGTTATATATGACCACCTATAAAATAGACTTCAAGCTCCTTGGCTTGGCATGCAAGGCCCTTCATGATCTCATCAATATCCCTTTCTTCACATGGACTCCAGTCCCAGCCATGCTGAAAAGATAGCCAAATCTCTTTGCTGTTAACACTTTTATACCTTAATGAAAAATCAAGTTTTTTCCCCTACCCAAAATGTCTGCCATAGTCTGCCTTCAGACTTGATCTATTGCCAGCCTTGGGGCTGTTTGCCCTCAAATTCATTCCCCATTGTTCCTCTACTCTGCTCTGGGTCGGGGGAAGACAGAGGGCATGAGGCTGAACCCTGCAGGTTGACTTTCTCAGGTTCCAAGGTCAGCTGACTCTGGGCCTCTGCTCTGCCCCTGGGAGTCCTAGGCAGGAAATAGGTGGTTGGAAAAGGGGAAAGCCAGAATGTGGCCTCCTGTCCCTCTCTATTTGGAAGAAGACTCTGGAAGTGCCTGTACCATGTCTGAGCTGCTAGGTCCTTCTGGATAGGTTTGCCTTGGTTCTAGCTTTTGTCAGTTGACTGTAGCCCCTGGCTCTGGTTATACTCCCCTCTTTTCTTTCTTTTCAGATGAGTTGGTAATGGCTTCCTCCTGTTACCAGTTCCTAGGTTATCTCACCATCACCTATTTGTCTTTTTAGGTCTTCAGTCATTTATTGAATTAGTAAGTTCCCCTTCTTCTCAACATAAAAATAACAAAAGGAAACCCTATACAGACTGAAAAAGCAGTGAAGTGAAAAACAGCGACTTTAGGCTTTGCCAGATTTATGTTCAAGTTCAGGCTTTAGACTTGCACAAATTAGCAATCTGAGTGATCTTGGACAGGTCCCAATTGCCCCTAAGGGCTTTTCCACCTCCCCCTGCTCCTGAGGAGCGATCCAGGCGGCAGCAGCCACTTGCACCCGCTGCTGGCACTGGCCCCAATCACTCCACACCATCAATGGGCGTGAGCAAGGCTGGTGCCGTAAGCGCGTGGGAGCGGCAGCGGCAGGAGCAGGGCTGCTGGCAGAAGGGACCAGGTCCACGCTGGAGGGGCCCAGCAGGGGCACAGAGGATGGGCCGAGACCTGCCCCTGTGCCCACCATAGTCTCACGGCCCACAGTTCCTTTCAAGGTGCATGGATTCGTGCACTGGGCCCCTAGTTTAATAATGTAGCTTTTTCTCAGAATGAGATGGGCTATAGTAGAGTGACTTGATTTAATTTGAGTTATATTTTAATAGAAGTACTCTTTGTGCTCAGCATCTCTGTAACATGAAAAATGTAAATTTCCTTTAGGACTGATGCCTTGGTAGGAACTTTGGGATTGGGGACAGCTGTGGATTGTCTTCTGGGTGTTATTCACAAAGGGGTGCTGTGTTGAAGGCTACACAAACCTGATTAGAGTTCCCACTCAGCCTATACTAGCTCATGTATCTTCATGTCAGTTATCTTTCCTGAGCCTCATTCTCCTCCCTCACCTGTTATATAAAGAAAATAATGCCTGACCAGTGTATTTTAATTTTTATTGCAGTTATGGCATTATAGTGAGATAATAATGTGAAGCATTCATGAAAGAAAAACACTTTGTAAATGCAAGAGATTCTTAATCTTCAGAAACAGGCTGTAGAGAGGGGTCTTACCTGAGGACAGGAAGAAAAGGCAGCAAAGGGTAGAAAAAGGAAACATGTAATTGAAATTTTTAAAATCTCTCTATTACGCTGGAGATCTCAGACAGTTACTTCTTAGTGGTGCATCAAATCTGATTTGGCACCTATTTCTATTGGTGTGTTGTTGTTGTTGTTGTTTTGTTTTTACTACCAACACGGAAGAGTGATTTCAAATTGTACAACAAAAAGGTGAATATAAAGACAGAGAAACTATGATAGGACATGGTTTTTAAACCTAGGTAATATGATTACTACAGTTTCAGTAAATGTATTTCCCAGCCACAGTTAGGTACTCAGGATATGAAAAGGATTTGGGGGATTTTTGTTATGGAAAAGCAGTCTGTCTGTTAGAACTCAATAGAGTAGAAATCTTAAGTGATTTTGCTTACGTGGAACTAATACTTGAAATTAGCATAGTCTTAAAACAATCAATGAAATAAAAAGGGAATCTATGGAATGGGAGACAATATTTGTAAATAATACATCTGATAAGGGGTTAGTATCCAAAATACATAAGAAACTCATACAGTTCAATAATGAAACAACTTAATTTAAAAAATGGGCGAAGGACCTGAATGGACACTTTTCCAAAGAAGACATATAAATAGTCAACAGATATGTTATGATGTGCTCAACATCACTATTTATCAGGATCACTGCCAGGAAGAGATACCTGCACCCCCATGTTCACTGCAACCATAGCCAAACCATGAAAACAACCTAAGTGTCCATTGATGGGTAAATGGATAAAAAAATGTGGAGATATATATATATTTCAGTTTTAACAAAGATGACGAAAATCCTGTCATTTGTGACATGGATAAATCTTGGAGGGCATTATGCTAAGTGAAATAAGTAAGACAGAAAAAAGACAAATACTGTATGATTACATTTATATGTGGAGAGTAGATTGCAGTAGGTTGCCTGAGATGGAGGGTTATGTGTGAAAGGAAATAGGTGAAAGTGGCCAAATGGTAAGATCAATATAAGGTATATTGCAACATGGTGACTATAATTAATGCTGTATTATGTACTTGAAAGTTGCTAAGAGAGTAGATCTTAAAAGTTCTCACCATAAAAAGTAATGGCAACTATATGAGTAATGGCTTTGTTAACTAACCCTATTGTAGTAAATACTTAGCAATATACAGCATACATATAGCAAATCATCACTTTTATACTTTAAACTTGCACACCATTATATGTCAGTTACATCTCAATAAAGCTGCAGGATGGATTGGCACAGTCTCTGGAAAATGCAGTGTATGGGTTGTCTGAATATGTTGTAGAAAGTAATAGGCATTTTTCATTATTTACTAGGTGTTCACTCTTTGTTTAGTCATTTATGTTATTAAAGGGTCTTTGTGTTGCATGAAAACCTGTCGCGGCTGTGTAAAAAGAGGAAGACAAACAAAATGGTTATTGGACATACACTGGAGTTGCTTTCAGATTCAAAGTTCTGGGGAGGACAGGACTCAGGAGGACAGCTCTTGAGAACTCAGTAGCAGAAGCATGTAGATATTTTATTCTGGACTAGAGCGCAGCCTTAATTGTCATCATGCTCTATGAATTCAGTCTGGTCTTACTGTGCAGATTAAATAATTCTGGGAGAATCTTTCTGGCTCAGCTGGTTCAGGTTTTGCAGTGGTCTGATCCGCTGTGACTAATTGGCAAGAACCACAGCAGTGGCCACCGAGGAGCCACCTCTGTGTCATGAGGTGATAGAAGCAGTGACAGGGCAGCACTAAGACTTTTCAGAGTCTTCCATCCGCACACTGTGCTCCTCTATGAGAATAATAAAGCCTCTGTGGAACAGCAATAACCTCATCCTTTTTTCTTTTTTTTTTAATAAGTCAGTTTTTCATTTACTAGCCCAGGAGAGGGGGCTCAAATATTTTTGAAAGACTTTCCAAAAAGCATATATGAAACTTTGATCTCTGAAACTTCATGCATTTTGAGGGGTTAAGAAAGTATTCTTTGGAGTCAGATTAAAATCTTTTTATCATTTACTGATCTGTGATTTAGGACTTGTTACTTTATCTGGGCTTTTAGTTTCCTTATTTTGGACCATTCTTTGGTTATTCTTGCTAATAATAATTCTCATATTACTTAATATTTTTGCAGCATTGAAACTTTCAACATGCTTAGGGAAAATTAGTACTGTCAATAAAAATGTTCTCAATGAACTAGAATGTGACCCCAAAGAGGACACATTTATTCTGACTTCTAGAAGCAAAAATGCAGAGTCAAGGTGTTCAAAATTAGCTGCATTTGGAGAAAGCCAGGGCCTGAATCTTTAGGAGGTGCTAGGAGGTCCTTCAGGATGTGTGGAGCAGAAGAACTGGAAGAACAGGACTTGGCTGCTCTTGGATTATTCAGGGAGCCATGGAGATGTGTCCTTAGAAACACAAGCCAGAGAGAGGAAAACTTACCAGTTACAGAGGGTTTAGGATTTAAGAAGAATACAAAGATCTTTTCATCTTTTAGATGTTTATGCCTCTGCACTTTAGCATGTGAAATGATTTATAGCGGAATTAACTATAATACATATTTGAGGAAATAGGCAGCAACAACAAAAACAAAATGCAAGATAGGAAGAAGTGAGTAACAGGGAAGAAGTGCAAATTCACATAGGTTAAACATAGGCGTACACTGAGTCATCAGCTTCACTTTGAGCTTCCAGCTAGAGAGGAAAATAAGAAAGAGATCAAGTTATATAAATATTATAATCAGAAAGGAGACAATCCTTAGGAACAGCAATTTGTTTTTTCCTCAAAATTCTAAAATTCTTTCCCCAGAAGACTTCATAGAGGGGTATTGAGTGATGT